CCTTTCAAAACAAAGATCGTGCATATAAACATTTGTATATTTCTATGCAAGCAGTTGTCTTTTACATACTTCTTTTACCAACAGCGCCTCCATGATGATGGTTGTCACACCTTTTTCTTGAAGAGTAGACAGTTGCGAGGGCTCGTTGAAAATGAAAGACGTGAAGACGTTAATAGCTGAAATGAAAAGACGATAATATCGAGATCACTTCTGGCACATACGTTAAAAAAGCAGCACCTAGCAGAAACAGCGAAGAACCATAGTAGTCCGGATTTTGGATCACATGCAGCAGCTGTTCCGGCAAAGGACCATCCATTACTAGAAAGTGACACAAATTTCATAATCACCAATAATCAAACATTTCGTCATGCAGCCGCTAAAATTATGCAATATCCATTGAAAGATGAAGTTACGTAAAGCATTTGGGGAAAATTTAGCAATGAAATATGATGAGCATTCACGGCACTCATTAATTGAAGCTCATCCTACGGTTAACGTTCCACAGTTTTGGATGACATGCAGAGCTGGGTTAATACCCTCATTACGTATCATAATGATCTTCTACTCGCTGTGTACTGACATGCATTTCATCGTGAAAACTCTCAATAACCTGTGGCCTAATTTTTGGAAAATACCAACCTTATGTAACCGTTGTGATCGCCACATTTTAACAAAAGTAACAGTTAATACTTGGATCATAACAGTCTCTCAGTCTGATAAGCCTATTAATTTATGATGATATTATGATTTAATAAAGTTTGCTAGGTTATTTTAGCAACAAAAAGGCCGAATATTCATAAAAATTTTGGTCAGAGAACCTAGAATATATTAAAGTATTTTACACTTACTGTGTCGCACTGATTCGCTAAACATTGGATCTTGAATGGCCTTTTTCACGAAGTTTAACAGCGATTTGATCAGCGCAGCTCTCTGAGGCGCACAACAGCCTAAACAGAGAGTGTATAACTTTGGTTTTAACCCGTAACATATTCTGCACAGTAAATAAAACATTTAAGAATTATCACAGAAGCCTTTGCGCAAAACCTGCACTTTCCCGAGTTGCAACTTAAAATGGAGAATCTATGTTTACAGTTCAGCAGATCACGAAATATCACTGGTCAAACAACAGAATATGAACAATGACCATTTTTTAAATGAATTCGTCAATCCAGTGTAGAGCAATTACAATTTGCAATCAGAATAACAGGCTTTTCCCACTACGTGGCTTGCGGTATTGCACGTTTTAATAGCACACTAGCAACGTCCATTTGCTGGGTCACGAGACAATCGTTACTATCGCCCAGCGGACGAAGATGTGCCGATCAGCTCGTTCGACCACATGTTAATTCGTCGGTTTGTTTGAGTCAAAATACCGATACCTGTTGAACATAAGATGTTGATCTTTTGTCAGATAACCTTTAACACAGTGGGTATATTCCAGCAACAAGGATGAACTAAGAGGTGCAAAACAGAATGCAAGAAAGTGATACAAGACCTCAAGTGGAACTCCCGTTACGGTGATGTTTCAGATTAAGACGAAGCTGGGGTCGTTTAACTCGTTTTGCACATCGATTCGCAAAGTTTTAGGATCTCAGTGCTTTCGGTCAGCCGATGAGCTGTTTCTCGCCTTGTAAAATGTCAAATATGATCGCAGGCTAGTGCGGCCCCAAAAAAAACCACCAAAAAGGTTTTTCAACTGATTATTGATGTCGCAAGACTCGTAAAAGTGCATTCGTGAACATGGCAATTCGAGAT